TTTGGGTTTGGTTTGCTATGGATTGGATAATAATTTGTTTCTAAATAATGTTTTGTTAGATTAGATGGGATGCATAGCTGTTGGTACCTCAACTAATGGGGCCACTTTCAAAATTCCCGGCAGGTAATAGTAGTAATTTTTTTTTTCTTTTTTTAATGTCGTTAAACATGAATAGTAATAACAACCTTCTGGTATCACGATAAGAACTTACTGGCAGTTTAGAAAATTAATGAACTAAAGGGCTGTCACGTTCAAAGATCATCGTCATAAATGTTAAACAAAATGAATCTTTGACATCATTATGGTCAATATATTAAGCAAGCAATTGAATACAACCTATAAAATATGAATGTTGTGTTTTGATGGCATCAACCAGGATGTTTAGCTATCGTTTTTTTAACTCTGAAATACCTTTGTACTTGGACAAAGAAAACTCTAAATGTGGGCATATAAACTTGATATAAAATTTAGAATGTCATGTTTACATAAAAAAAAAATCTTGTTTGATTTATCTGATTTTTTATATTCTTGCAGGGTTGGAGATGGAGCTATTGCTGGATCCTCTGCATATGCTGATGCAGAAGTTGGGGCTTGTGGGGCCACTGGTGATGGTGATATCATGATGCGCTTTCTTCCTTGGTATTTATAGCATGAATTTCGTTGTATATTTAGTTGATATCTTCAGATTCTTCACAACTTGAGCATGGAAAAAAGAAAGCAAAGAAGAAATAGAAGTAACTAAAAGTTGGTGATTAAGTGACGCTGAGAATAATTACAAAAGATCTACCCTTAGACTCTGAGGTTCAACTCAATTTCAGTAAAATCCAACTCTCTTTTATAATTGACAATTATTACGAATAGCCCCAACATGAGGTTAGTCTTAAAAATTGAATATTCATTCCTTAAATGGAAGTATTCCTTTGACAGGGAGATTTTTTCACAATTTTTTGAACACGAGAGGTGTTTTTTGTAATTCTATCTTTGTGTAATTACCCATGGACTCTGATTAGGCTTGTGATATCCTCCTCAAGAGTGAAAATGTGTATTTTAATTGGGTTTATTCATTTGTTTCCAGTTATCAAGTTGTGGAGAGCATGAGATTGGGCATGGAACCCAAGCCTGCTGCCAAGGATGCCATTGCTAGAATTGCAAGAAAGTACCCAAATTTTGTGGGAGCTGTTTTTGCTGTCGATAAAAACGGGTCCCACGCGGGCGCTTGCCATGGTTGGACTTTTCAGTACTCTGTTAGAGGACCTGATACAGATGATGTCATGGTCTACACCGTCAACCCATAAAATGATGAAGATGGAGTAATATTTGCCGACTCTTGAGATTGTGAGGAATTTGTAAGCTTTTATTATTGTTACTCATTGTGGTTGCTAAAAGCAAACATTTGATGATTACCAATCAAGAGACATAATGAGAGCGTGTTTAATTTAATTAACTACGTAATTGTGAGAGCACAAAACTTTTACTTCTTCCTATTCTTTTTATTTGGCATTTTGGCTTTACTGACCATTAACCAAATAAATGATGTTTTGAATTTTTTATACATATTTTTTAATTGTTACCCTAATTTAATTAATACACTACACGTTTTGAGATGTTTTGAGAGGAAAATTGTTGAATACGATGAGTTTTCTCTCTTAAAAGAACATAAAAAGCCTAAAAAGAAAAAAAAAAATAATTAATGTTTTGTTTTAAATAAGGCTAATATTGGCAAGAAAAAATTTCTTAATTTATGTGCTAAAACACAAAACGGCATTTAAAAAGAATCGGAGGAAGTACCTATTTTTCCTTTCACTTTGCCCAACAACACATGCTACATCATGTCATAACCACTACCAATATATAGTCAACCATAACCAAACCACCCAATCTCAATTAATTTTTTTTTTTTCCCTTTGCATATGCTACATTGAATCATAATCACCACCAAAAAGTCAAGCACATATATAATAATTAAGCCAACAACAAATCACAACCACCATGCCCATCAACTCCCAAGCTCTTGAAGCTTCTCAAGAACTCGACCAATATCCGGCCGAACAATACGTGAGGGCGAACAACACGCAATCGCTAGCTGAAAGTACTTCAAAATCTTGTCCTCAACAACAGCTCTCTCATCCCCACTCAACCCAACAAGCATGTCCCAACTGTATAAGTCCGTAATCCGACGCTTGAGAATCACGCTTCTCAACTCAAAATCCCGAGCCCGGCCCGAATTCTCATCGGCAGCCAATTTTCCTGTTAGGAGCTCGAGAAATATTATGCCAAGGGCATATATGTCGGTCTCCATGCAGACATCCCTCATTTTGAGCAGCTCAGGGGCTGCGTAACCTTGAGAGGCAGATGCTTCAAGCATCTGTTGGGCCGCTATTGGGCTCAGGAGGAGATGCAGCCCAAAGTCTGAGACATATGGGCTGTAGTGACGGTCGAGAAGCACATTGTTGGACTTGAGGTTGCCGTGGGCCAGGGGCTTGCCTAAGGATGAGTGGAGGCGTTGGATACCTAAAGTGATGCCGATGGAGATCTTGTGTATGACGGGCCATTTGCAGGCCTTGCCATTGCCAACTGCCAGTTTAAACGCAGAATTTTTGATTAATCGTGAGATTGAAATAATATATAAAAAAAATGATAAATAAATTAGAGAATCTAGTTGAAGAACCATAAACAAAGCATTAAAGTTTAAAGTGTCTTTTATTTTTTAAATCATTTGACAATAAACCTTATGAATTTCAAATTTGAAAAGAGAAATGAAAAAAATTGTTGAGCAACAATCGAAACATGAGTCACAAGAATCTTTCTTCGACGAATGGATTAGGTCCGTTACTCTTTGCTAGTGCTTGCCGGAAATTTAGCTTTTAGAAAGAGTGTAAATTCATCGTAGCAGAAGCTAAAA